TCCCTCTACAAAAGGAGACATTCCAGTACCCACTGTATCACCTATTCTTGCGACCAGGCCTAAGTGAATTATAAGACCATCCCTCGAAGTTAGAGAGAATCTAGGCTTAGCTTGAGATGACGCAGTGTCATAACATCACTGTAGATCTTTGGTCAGTCTTCTCATAATCTGTTCGTTTACCCAGATTTTATACTCTCGGACGATAGGGTGAAGATGTTGGGGCAGTTCGGACATAAAAAGAGTACTTATGGGTATTAACGCTAGACGAAAAACGTTGAAATTGGATTAGATGCTGCATATTAGCTCGCGTATTATGGGAAAATTCGGACTCGCGTAATTTGGGAATGGTATCCTAACATTGCCGGTCTTGATCTTAAAAAATATTGTCAATCAGAGATCCTTCTACGTGACGCAAGGTCCCCAGGTTTGATATCATGGCATTGACACGGCTGGTTCGGCGATGGTCACTGCTTACAAAAGGTGCCACGCGACCTTCAACAGACTCCACACAGTTGATGTCTTTCGGCTTGTAAGGGGACCTGGCAACGGATCCGTATTCACCTACCGGACGAACAAGGCTCAAATAAGCCCGTTCCTTAATAGCAAGAGAACAAAATGTCAAGTTCCTTTGAAGTACTCCAAGAAGCCTGTTTGCCTTCTCCTTTACCTCCAGATTTGCTTGGTCCAATTGAGGAAGCTGGTAATGTAGACCCCCAGATATTTCTGGAACGTGACCCCCTCCGGAAAGGTGTTGCACAGCGTGAGCGAGTAAGATGCTTAAGGGTTATGGACATAATGTAGCATTTGCGTGCAAGATTCTTGTTGGTGAAAGATGGCGTCTTGAAGTAAACATGTGTTGTTCATTGAAGACTACTTTAAACCAAAATAATTCGACATTCTGTACGATCAGCAAATAGAGGACTGAAAGCTTCGATCAGAAAAAGGACCACACCAATGTTATGACCAAGTTCCAGGTGAAAGCTAATCCCTGTCATACAATGACCGTATTCCTGTCCTCTAAAGACTGATGTAGAGATTAACGCAATCACCACTATTATGACAGAATTATCCCAGTTCACAGCACAGGTATCTTATCCCTTCACGATAGAGGATTACTTGTTTTAGTGGTCACACTACCAACACGCAACGATACTTCTGAGGAAGGACATTGATAAAATCCAACTGCAGCAAAGAAACCTCCACGATAGACAAGAAAAACGTCCTTAACGATTTTGGATAAAAAATATGAGGGCCTTGAAACCTTCAACTGAAGCCGTACATTACGTGCATCACTTACTGGACTCCATAGCTCTTATCCGTGCATTACACGAGATACCAGCCGTTTATTCCAAACATGACCTTCTGGCAGGAAGAAAGAAAGCAAGCTGCGTCGCAATTGGGTAAAGCCTACCAGCCACAAGCATTTCTCCCAAATCTGTCGCCACTCTAAAGTTTCAGCTACGAATTGCAGCCGTCGACATCGCAAGTTATTGGATGATATGGTCAGCCCCAAGAAACCACACCAAAGACTCCAAATCATTTTATATCATCTCAAAATCAAAACACAACTATCTTATAGCTACGTGGATTGGCTGCTACGAAACCTGCTACACCTGTCTTCTACAAACTGCGTTAGCCAGGTTACTTGTTTAAAGTCAAGAAGTGTCTGTGTGGGTCTAATCTGAACCTGATAACCAGCGCTCATACATACGAAAGGCATTTGCAGAACCCTCACGCTTCAAGGTCCAACAAACTAAAATAGCGACCCAACGTAAGGAGAGAAAGGGGACAAAACAGTGAGACTAAGAGATTACAAAGAGTAATATTTGCCCTTTCGCCTATCAAAGTAGACACTAAAAGTGCCTCTTAAGTGGACGCTCNCCCAACGTAAGGAGAGAAAGGGGACAAAACAGTGAGACTAAGAGATTACAAAGAGTAATATTTGCCCTTTCGCCTATCAAAGTAGACACTAAAAGTGCCTCTTAAGTGGACGCTCTCGCCATACCTAACATCTGCAATCCTCTTGGATCGGTGACTTTTGCAGACTTCTACCTTCGCAATTTAGTACGACTTCTACCTTCGCAAGTCGGTGTCCTTGTTGGTCCAGATCACTACTTCTCTTTCGTTATTAGCTGGATATGTGTGAGAGGGGCAACTGCTGAGTCACTAGTTGCTGGATCGGAACCCGCAGAATCTAGTTCAGGATACACCTCTTTAATGCTGATAATTTTAGAGAACAGCGAAGTCACTGCAAGTTTAAAATGGTTCTGGGAACGGGTATCCATGGGCATAACCAAAGCTGAGAATCCAACCATGTCACTAAGGGGCTAAACTTTGATGGGGAAAACTATGAGGTGAAACTCCGTGGAAGAAAGTTCACCAGTCATTGGGAAATATTATGGCCAAGCTGTGAAACGACGCAGACGCATCTTAAGGAAGTTGAAACGAGACCCCGACAAAGCTGAGGCTTATTGTAATGCAATCAAATAATAAGTAAAGAGAGACTTTGTAGAGGAGGCACCTGAGCAAAGTAGTAACGATGGAGTCGTACGGTATTTGCCACATCATGCCGTGCTTTGCATTGAAACGAAGACAACAAAGTGTCGATACTTCTGGGAAGGGAGAGGATGGCGTTTTTCTCAATAACGGTGTAATTCCGGGTTATGCAACACATCCTTAGCTCGCCTCTTTACTCATCCACTTCTGTGCGCATAGAGTTGGCCTGATAGCAGATGTCGGGAAGACGTTTCCTCTAGAAAAACTGGCTCTTAACGATGGCGATGTACACCAATACTTGTGGAGAAGTCGGTCCAAGATAAAGGGACCACTAAAAACAATTGAAATTTGGGCTGAGGTCTAGTTCATTTCCTTTAATTATGACAGTCCATGCCCATGCGCGAAGAACCAAATTGATCATTTCGCTATTTCACCCAGATGGAGGTCATCATTCCAAGATGTACAAGTCAAAAGAGGGGCGGACGAAGGATATGACCATCACTTGCTTGTTGCAGAGGCAAAAATTAAGCTATTAGCTCACAAGAGACCCCCATCAGGAGGTCATTGATATGATGTCAGCAACCTGAAGGATCCGCAATGTCTTGATGAATTCCGTCTTGTCCTGCAAAATAGATTTGAGGCACTCTATCAGTTGACGTAAGACCAACAACAACACGAAGAAAACGGACACCACAATTCCCATGGAGACCAAGAACAACATACCGATGGAGCAACAAATAGGAAGTGGATGGTGATCAAGCAAGCATATGTAGATACATGTGACAGTCTTTGGTAGAACTAGTTCCGAAAGATCTGGATCACATCAGATACCTGGAACAAAGTAGACGAAAGACGAGATGAGAAAGAGAAACTTAACCAGGCAGTGACTAGGCAGCAGAAGAGACAAACACTCTGAGAGACAAGTACTCTGAGAAATGCAGAGAAGTGAAGAGATGTTACCAATAGACAAAGGAACTTATGCTAACAACTTGGCCAGAGATGCAGAGGGAGCAGCCGGAAAAGGTGACATAAAGATACTATAACATCACACGCAAACGCAGTGGCCATAGAAGAAACATAGACCGCCCAATTAGAGACAATACTGGAAGCATGCTCGCCAAACTGAATACTGAACTTGAAGAATGGCGTAGTCACTTTACAACAGCACTCAACGGGGACACACCTGTAGAAGCCCCCGAACTACAGACTAACCAAAAAATACGAGTTGACATCGGCACAATTACCAAGGAAGAGATTAAACGGGCACTGACGAGATTAAAAAGAAATTCAACTTTAAAAATATACCTGCAGATGGTGAAGTGCGCGCGCTAAACAAGTGTAAGAGACGCAAATGTTTGAGTTACCGGGAAGATGACAGGAAAAAGTGTAACAAGCACCATAAAAGTTTTCAAAAAAGATGAAAAGATGAATTCAACTTTAAACATGTACCTGCAGATGGTGAAGTGCGCGCGCTAAACAAGTGCAAGATACGCAAATGTTTGACTTACCGGGAAGATGACAGGAAAAAATGTAACAAGCACCATAAAAGTTTTCAAAAGAGATGAAAACAACTCATTTAACTTTTAAAGACGCATGGCTACCCCTAAATTTTATGTTATAAAATGGCAGTGGCAAGCGTATTCAACAAGTGATTAGCTTCTGGTTGTGAAGAAAAGCTATTTAGACTGTCTTTTGTCTAGACCAGAGGAGAGCCTCTGCTACGATTTTGTAATTAAAAACATACCAGGAGTGGTTTTTATGTTACCATTTGCCATGTAGTTTAAAGACTTTTATAAATGTGTTTGGAGACGGGCGGTGGCCTCATGGTTAGTGTGCTCGTCTCCGGATCGAGTTGTCTGGTTTCGAGCCCTGGCCGGGACATTGTGTTGTGTTCTTGGGCAAGACACTTTACTCTCACAGTGACTCTCTCCACCCAAGTGTATAAATGGGTACCGGCGAATTTAATGCTGGGGGGTAACCCTGCGATGGACTAGCATCCCATCCAGGGCGGAGTAGAAATACTTGTAGTCGCTTCATGCTGCCGAAACCCGGATAAAGTCCGGCCTGATGGGCCCCTTGACTCGTATGCAGACTTTTAAATTATCTTTACTTATAAATGTGTGTGCATTTCTGAAGGTAAATGCGAATTGAAATCTCTGAAGAAATATCTTTTCCTTCTTTTTCAGAAAAAATACTGACGCCAGCAATTTTTTTTCGAGATTCAAGGCTAATTATCTCGGACAAATGCGTCGCTACCCCCTAGTTTTCTTTGTGGGTTCCAGTAGTCCTTGCTAAGATCTTCTTTTTCCATATGGTCCTACTTTGGAGTAACGACTTTTGTATTTACTAGGCACCATCCTTAAGTTTATCTCAAGACACTAGGCAAAGGGGGTATGAGGGTTGGTCGGGTTGATAGACAGAGATACTTACTATTTTTTAAAGATGATTTGTTTTTTAATAAGCTATGCTGGTCATCGGCGTTATCTTATTTTTTAGAATTTGGATTTCAAAAGGAATCATGGCTCAGTTTTCTCGCATTCTTGCTGCCACCGTGCTTCTTATGTTTGGTAAGTGTTACAGTTTTTTAACCAATCCCTCCCGGCCTGACGGTGATCATCAATACAGGAATATGCCAGCAGGTGTCTTTCCGACAAGTAGTATAAGTGTACAGCGAACTGTAATATGATCTGCAAACCTTGATCTTTCATGAAAGAGGAGGAAGTAACTGGCTCTTTATTCGTTTGCCAGTTTCATAAAGGGCTGAGTATTCTTACTTAAATACAATGGCTTTAT